TGTATATATGTATATATGTATATATGTATATATGTATATATGTATATATGTATATATGTATATATGTATATGTGTATATGTGTATATGTGTATATATGTATATATGTATATATGTATATATGTATATATGTATATATGTATATATGTATATATGTATATATGTATATATGTATATATGTATATATGTATATATGTATATATGTATATATGTATGCTCACCCCCCCCAATGGACCCACCGCGGATGGCAGCCGAGTCCTAGCCAGATCAAGGCAAAAAAACAACAAAACAAGAAACTAACAAAAACCAACAAACCAAAAAAATCCAAAAAACCAAAAAAACCAAAAAAACCAAAAAAACCATCTTTTCCAAAACTATGGGGCTGGGGCCTCCAAAAGATGGTTTTTTTGGTTTTCTCGAGAAAAAGATGGTTTTTTTGGTTCGAAACCATCTTTTTCTCGAGAAAAAGATGGTTTTTGAGCAGCCGCTCTTCTAAAAACCATCTTTTTCTCGAGAAAAAGATGGTTTTACCAGGAGAAGACCTCCAAAAACCATCTTTTTCTCGAGAAAAAGATGGTTTTACCAGGACAAGACCTCCGAAAACCATCTTTTTCTCGAGAAAAAGATGGTTTTTCCAGGGTAAGATCTCTAAAAACCATCTTTTTCTCGAGAAAAAGATGGTTTTTCGAAGAGCGGCTGCTCAAAAACCATCTTTTTCTCGAGAAAAAGATGGTTTCGAACCAAAAAAACCATCTTTTTCTCGAGAAAACCAAAAAAACCATCTTTTGGAGGCCCCAGCCCCATAGTTTTGGAAAAGATGGTTTTTTTGGTTTTTTTGGTTTTTTTGGTTTTCTCGAGAAAAAGATGGTTAAGTTTTAGGGGTTTAAGCCTCATGCACTACAGGGTTATAAGGTTCTAATCCTATAGGTATTGCCTTAACCTTTAACCCTAAACCTTTAACTTTAAACCCTGCAGGGTTAACCCCGTGAGAAATTTAGAGATAGACCCCGAAAAGACCCTAAACCTTCTTACAGGGTGTAATGGTTTAAAAACCGATAGGACATGTATACCTTCAGCGCCTGTAGGGTTCAAGCCTTTGAACGTGCTAGACCCCTATAGGGTGCTAAGGTTCTGACCCTAAAGGGTTTAGGATTAAGGCTTAAATGCCCTCTAGGTTTAAATGCCTAAGTCTTAAACCCCAAACCTTTAAACCTTCATCCTATGGGGTTTGAAGGTCAAGGGTTTAGGCTTGATTGCCGAGGGCTTTAGGGTCCTGACCCTAGAGGGTTTAGGGTTAAGGAATAGATGCGTAAACCTTAAACCCTTAAGGTTTAAACTCTATGGGCTTAGGGGGCTTAGGTTCTTTTAAACCCTAAGCCTTTAAACCTTCACACTACAGAGTTTAGAGGTGTTAAGGGTGACAACTTGATTACATACTTAGCTTTAAATGCCTGAATCTTAAACCCCAAACCTTTAAACCTTAACCCTATAGGGTTTAAAGGTTAAGGGCTTAGTGTTAATCGCTGTCTTAGGTTTAAATGTCTGAATCTTAAACCCTAAAACTTTAAACCTTCACCCTATAGGGTTTAAAGGTTAAGGGTTTAGGTTGAATCGTCAGCTTGGATTTAAATGTCTAAGTAAAGAATCCTAAACCTTTAAATCTCATCCCTATGGGGTTTAAGGTTAAGGGTTCAATATGAACTGCCGGCATAGGTCTAAATACCTAAACCTTAAACTTAAACCCTAAACCTTTAAATATCTTAACCCTATAGGGTTTAAAGGTTAGAGGCTTAGCGTAAATTGCCGGAATAGGTTTAAATGCCTAAATCTTAAGCCCGAAACCTTTAAACCTTAGCCCAACAGGGTTTAAAGGTTAAGGGTTTAAAATTAGTTGCAGGCTTAATTAGGTTTAAATGCCTACATCTTATATCCTAAACCTTTAAAAATCTTAACCCTATAGGGTTTAAAGGTTAAGGGCTTGGCTACAGGTTTAAATGGCTAAATATTAAACCCTAAGCCTCTAAACTTTAACCCTACAGGGTTTAAAGGTTAAGGGTTTAAAATTAGTTGCAGGCTTAGGTTTAAATGCCTACATCTTAAACCCTAAACCTGTAAAAATCTCAACCCGATAGAATTTAAAGGTTAAGGGCTTAGCTTTAATTACCGGCATAGGTTCAAATGCCTAAATCTTAAACCCTTAACCTTTAAACCTTAACCCTACAGGGTTTAGAGTTAAAGGTTAAGGTTTTTTTTTTGCAGGCTTAGGTTTAAATGCCTAGATCTTAAATTATAAACAAAAGCCAACAGAAAGAAAAACCCTCCGTGCGTGTGTGAGAGGGTGAATTAAGGAATACAGTCAAAAATCCGGTCACCGGAAAATCACCAGACAGCATAGGTTTTATCGGTATTTGCGGTACTTTTGCAAAGATCAAGGCCCGCGGTGGGTCCATTGGGGGGGGGTGACCATATGTATATATGTATATATGTATATTGTGGGACAAGTTGTAAATTGTGGGGCCCTCCTTGCTGCATGAACCTGCTGTAGAACGCTATCAAGTCTCTGAACTGCTAGCCATGTGGAGCCGAGGTATGCCGCCGTCCTGTCCGTGTGTTCCCAGGCCAAACTCTCCCTGGCGAGTTTCGCAAGTACGGTCTTGTTCCTGGCAGCCAAGAGCTTGGGAGAGAAGGCTTTCCGCATCGCTGGGCCTGAGCTCTCCTCCCCTGCTGCTGTGTCGGCTCAGGATGTGAGTTGTTGCTGAGGATGTGAGAGTTATTATGCCGTGATGACATGCGTTTGAAGCGCCATGGGCTCGCGCGCAAGCAGCCCACAGGACTACTCCGTCCAGATCCATCCTACGCCTGAGGCACCCCACCTGTCTAAAAGCCAACGCGAAGGTGTTTCCTTTTAGTTGTTTAAGTTGAGGGTTTAGGGTTTAGGGTTTAGGGTTTACGTTAAGAAGGGTTCAGGGTTTAATCGGTTCCCCAAGCCTAGAAAGACCCTAAACACACGTAATTCCGTAAACAGGGACGCTTCTTACTTATTGGGGATGTTTTCCAAGAGAGTGACCGAAAAAGCCTGCTGCACATTCGTGTTTATTCAGAGCAACTCCAGCAATGTAGGGTCAATTCCTTAACAAGAACAATATTGGGTATCTCTTCCGCCCATGGTCTTTGCAAGGTGGTTGCTCAAGGCGGAAGCGCGAAAAGTGAGTTTACTTGGAGGTTCCTCATTTAGGGTTTAGGGTTTAGGGTTTAGGTTTAGGGTTTAGAGTTTAGGGGTACTTATTAACCAGTACCTTTAACACCCACTTCTAAGCCCCTGAAGAGCCCTAAGATGGTCAAAAGTACAGTTAGAAGTACATTTACCCTAAACCCTAAACCGTAAGCCCTTATAAGTACAGCCACAGTTGGTTCACAAATTCCATGAACCTCCAAGTAGGGTTTCTGGCAGGATCCGCCGCTGCCACATCACTTAGCTGCGGCGCTGTCAGACGGTGAAGAGTCGCAGATAGAGGACAATGGGCAGAAAGCGCCGGAGGTTTAGGGTTTAGGGCTTAGGGTTTGGGGTTTGGGGTTTAGGGTTTGGGGTTTAGGGTTGAGGGTTTTGGGGTTTAGGGTTGAGGGTTTTGGGGTTTAGGGTTTAGGTCTACTGGGTGGAGAGCTGGGGCCTGGAACCCGGAAGGTTGATCGCGACACATGCATCGGGCAGCTGCCAACCTTTGATGCTTTGAGGGATGGACTCCTAAACCCAATGGCCCTCCACCCGATAGGTTTAGGGTTTCGGGTTTAGGGTAAACCCTGAAGCCCAGGCCCTAAACTCAAGCTCCATGGATCTCCACCCAAACCCCTAACCCCTAAACCCTAGCCCCTAAACCCTAAGCCCTAAGCCCTAAACCCTAAGCCCTAAGCCCTAAGCCCTAAGCCTTAAGCCCTAAGCCCTAAACCCTAAACCCTAAACCCTAAACCCTAAACTCTGAATCCAGGAGCTTCACCTTTCAGAGGCGACATCTTCGCGGAGCCTAGGAAAGCCCTCCCCGTGTCTGCCGAACAACTCGTTGAGCACCTCAACGGGCTCCTCTCTTCGGGACTTGGTGGGGCTCCTTGGGTCAAAGGGTTTAGGGTTTAGGGTTTAGGGTTTAGGGTTTAGGGTTTAGGGTTTAGGGTTTAGGGTTTAGGGTTTAGGGTTTAGGGTTTAGGGTTTAGGGTTTAGGGTTTAGGGTTTAGGGTTTAGGGTTTAGTGCGGGATTTGGTGGGGCTCTTCAGCTGCTCTTGTTATAGAGCGTTGGGGCTTTTAGCTTTCATGTTATTTGTACATACGCATTCTCTGTCTCTCTGTCTCTCTCTCTCTCTCTATGTCATTGTTTTTTTGTTCTTGTTTTTGTTTTTTGTTTGTTTTTTTTTTTTTTTTTGGGGGGGGGGGGGGTGGGGGGTGGGGGTGGGGGTTAGGGCTTTCAGGGTTTTAAGGCTTCCAGGGTTGTTAGGGTGTTTACGTGCTTTTTTCTTTTTTAGTTTTTCGGGTTTTGGGGCTTCGGAGCTTCTAGGGCTTTTGGGTTTTAGTGTTTTCGGGCCTTTACGGCTTCAGGGCTTTTAGGGTTCTTAGCCTTTTTGGTTTTATTTGTTTTTGGGGCGGGGGGGGGGGGCTTTGTTGGGTTTTAGAGCGTTCGGGGTTTAGGGGTTAGGGCTTGGGGCTACACAGGCCGACAGACATGATTCAAGGGACGAGAGAGGAACCCTTATTAGGGGGTTATTTAGGGGCTACTTAGGCATACAGGGGCCCATATAAGGAGATGAAGGGTTTTTTCAAGGGGTCCCTCCTTATACCCCTTAGGTGATGCTCTTTGAATGGGTTCTCTAAGAGCTGCCAAGGAGCGATGACAGCTCCTTCAACCGGTCGTTGACTGCCAGTGAGAGGCACAACTCCCGCAGATACTCCGAGGTAGGAGAGCTCGTCTAAAAACAAGAACTGTGCCGGACCCCTTCTTCTTGTACAGGGGCCTGGTGT